TTAACTTTATCTGGTCTCATCACAAATAAATGTGTTATTTTGCTATGTCGTCCAAGTTATTTTATCTTACATATAAAGTTGTATGACACCCCTGTTAAGATTTACTCGATGATAACCTAATAACTGAATACTTCATCTAAACAAATGAAATACTGTGTTCTATCCTATATGCAGACTAGGTTATTTTAATTAACAACAAATTCATTCAACACAAAAACATTACTATAGCGTTCTTTATAACTTATCGAAACTAGAAAAGAGTTAATCATTAAAATGGTTTGTATCGAATACGTACAATTTCAAATTTAGTGCAATTACTAAACCAGAAGAATTAGTTAGCTATTTTACTCTATTTTTTTGAACCCTTCAAAAGTATCCGATCGCTCAGCAATATCAAGATATTTTAGCTCATCTTGAGTATATTCTAGTTCATGTGGAGCTACTCTTTATAAGTGAGACACTACTCAGTCCTCTATATTTTTCTCTTTGCTGATATCAGTCATATATGTTTAAAATATTCTTTATTTTCATGCATCGTTTTTTTTCTTTTTCAGAGTTCTCTACTTTATTTACCAAATATGGATCACTAATCGGCAAATCTTAAAAATACCATTGCATTAGTGCATGAATGGTTGTAAAAAATATGAAAATGTATATAAAATGTAGAGTGTGCCTATGTATTAGTTTATTTTTCTGTACATATATTGTGAATAGTATAGTGAGTAGTGAATTTATGGAGATCCATAGTAAGTTTAATTTCCGTTTTTGTGTATAATGTCATTCTACATATATATATATGGGTTCTAGTTAGTAAAACAGTTGAAGATTCTGAAAGATTAACACCAAGTTTAACATAAAATTACGTAACCATGGCAAACGTTTTCTGTAAAACATTCAAAACTATGATATTAATCAATAAAGTTTACGCTTCAGATCATTGACCAAGTTATTTTACTTGTATTATTTCAAAATTTGGATATCATTAAATAGCATCAAATTATTAAGTTATTGGTTATTCAAGATGTATTTATTCAAAGTTCTAAATAGTAGTTCATTGAGGCGATTCATTCGAATAGGTTAGAGAACGGAGTTTTCATACTATTAAAAGTGATTTCTTAGAAAATGAACTTGATGAGAAAGAAAAGTGATGTTTAGTAATTCTTGAAATTGAAGAAGTTGGAAATCTCCCTATAAATAGTGACAAACATTGAAGCTGTTTAGAAGTCGCTGAATTTTAAGTAGACAGTGTCTATATCCTTATAAATTATTTCAAGTATTGTATAGGCGAGTCTCTAATTTATGGACGACCTTTGAACGAATCTCACGTGACCTTCAGAAATATTAACCAATCAGCAAAAAGTAAGTATAAAGTAAAGATATATTATAAAAAACCAAAGAAATAAAGTGGATACACTTCTTATACATGGTTCGAAAACTTGTCAAGGTTAGAAAGAGGTTCAGAGGTTCTAAAATCCTAATGCATGCAGTAGAGGAAATCATCCATACGGTTAGAGAATAGTCGGCCTCTGGAGCCATGATAAAGTCCCAAAAACTCTTTCAGCCTTGACCACGTAGATTCAATATTGTTTATGTGAACTCCAGTTGATGAGTACACAAAATGCTACGTGTGGATAACAACAAGATGCACACAACCAAGCCTATGTAGGAGTCTGTATGCTCTTCAAACATCCGTATATATTGTAGTACCCGGCTGCAGTCAGTTTTACTGGTGCCTTTATTATCCATTTCGCGATAATTGTCATAATTTGCCTTAATTAGGAACTATAGATGGGATTTTCATCACGAACTGACATCAGCTATAATGCCAGAAATCTATTTAGCCATATGGATGAAAGACGTTCGCGCCGAAATCCGAGATCTGTTATCTTATGCCTGATTGGTTCGTTCACAAATTATAGTCTTACCGTTTTATTTGTTATAGTCGCTCAATTATCACGTTTTGTACAAAATTCCCTGTAAACCTATCCTACGTTATCATTAAGCAATAAAGTTGACACCGTAACCATGAAATCTTTAAAACGCTTCTGATTGGCTCGTCCATAAATTAAAGTCTCGCCATTATATATTTATTATGTCTGATCGTTGCTAATTGCTGTGCCGGAAAATGCTGATCACATTGAATCAAAACGGATGTAATGATGAATAAAATTCATATTGAGTAAATCAATCGAAAATTGACTTTTCTTCCCATCATATCAATATTAAAATAATAAACGAGCCTCATAATAGGTAGCATGAAAGAGTATCGGTATTTATAATTAACAAATAAATGTATTCAGTATTAAAGGTTTGTGAATAAATCAGTTAGTACATGGAACTTAAATGAATATTAAGGAATATCTTCAATACAAAAATAATACAACTAATATTAATGAAGCCAAGTGCTGTGAATTGAAAACATGCACACTTTCAATACAAATTCAATACAGAAGTAATGGGTCATCTGATTGAATAACTCTAAGCCCCAAGAGGTAGCTCAGTATATAAGATTTTCTCGAACTGGTTGTTTTAATGTTAAATTTTTGTTGTCAATTACTTCCATCTACGAAATTTATCATCTGTCATCAGGAAAAACACAAATTAATTGAATAACATGTTTTACAATAGTAGATTGATCCAAAAGTTTGGTGAAATACGCTCCGTTGAAACAGTAGAGATAAAATAATTGTCTACATTTAGCCTTGAAACGTTTTGAATCTGAACAGTTTCGTAATCAATCTCTGTATACTTCATTTCATAATTTAACTTTATAGATAATCAGTCGTTCTAAATTATCCATTTAGTATTATTGTTTCCTTGTTTTGCTACTTTGAGTCATTGAAAAATGAATATACACCATTGTATAAAACTTTTTTTTACTACGTAAGATATGTAGTTGTGAATAGATATTGAAAAGTTTCTAAGCATTTGGCCAGTGTTCTTATAACAAATATAAGCTATCCCACCTAATCACCAGTTTGTTTTTTATATGTTGTTGCTTATCATCTAAAGTTGTAATAATTTAGAATTTGTGAACATGAGGATGACTTTTAGTGGAGCTCTTATCTGACTCCAATTACCGTCCAAATATACATACATCTTGACTAATCTTTATCGACTTAACGGAATTAAACAAGTCGAATACGAGAATGGATTTTTGAATACATATATTTTGTACACTCACTGATTTGGACAGGAAATGAGAGAGATGAAGCGAATGGAAGAGAATGAAAGGAAATGTCTCGCAGTGGAAAAGGCATGTGAACCAACTCGATTTAACCAAGCGTTAATAGATATTTCTAGTCGGATAGAAATAAGTTGGTGAATAGGATAAGAAGTGTACTCACGCTCATATAAAAACAATCAAGGTTGATAAGTGAATAATTAACAAGGTCAAAACGTAACTCAAGAAGAATGGATAAATTGGCCTGTCCAGAAGCTGGAATAAGTTATATAGGCTTAACATAGTAATGCACACTACATAGTCCTCTTGTAGAAAATAGCACATTTATTTTGAAAAATGTCTGTTTTCGAAAATAATACAGAAATAGTATGTGTTTAATATTAGTGAAAAAAAGTAATATACCTGATAGAGTATGGTCTAATGTGAAAAGTGAGTGTATTATACGACAGTGTACTACTTATGTAGAAAAAGGTACGAAAATAAGTGGAATTATTAGCATGGGGTTATGAGCGAATTAGTAAGCGTACCAAAAAATTTTGTTGTGACCATCTGGATGATAAAATAACATATTCGTATAAGCGATTCAAAATATTGTGAAAACAGAATAATAAATCGATTATGGATATGACAACAGAATACGTTCTCTGAGCTTGAAATAGTAATGGACACTATAAACGACTAAGAAAATTACGGTGAATAATTATTTTAAGATGGATAGTATCTAGTAGTGGAATCCAGGACACGCGTTTCGTCCTATTTGAGATTTGTCAGTTGAATATATCTCCATCTCAGAGTTGAATCGAATAGTACTGGACTCGAGTCCCAGAGTAAACATCAACTCCAAGATGAATATGCATCCAGACTTCTACCTGAAGTTTGTGTTGATGATATCCGTTCTGAAGAATGATGAAAACTTCGCAACTAAACTATCCAGCTCAGAGAATAAAACTCCATCTAAATCATCCAGCTGAGCTACAAATCTTTTCCACCATCTCAAGGTCCATTCATCTGACGAGTTCCAAATAGAACGAAACGCGAATCAACCTATATTCCACTGCTAACCACTATCCATCTTTCCTCATAATGCTTATAAATTAAGTCAATATACCAATAAGAAAACTGATCAGTCCTAAACATCAATATGAAGATCCAAGTAAACAAACAGACATTAACACCGTTGGATTCCGGCTCAGTGGTCCAGTAGGTTAAGCGTTCACGCGTGAGCCTAAAGGCCCTAGATTCAAAATCTGCGAGCAGGACCGTGGGTGCGCACTGCTGAGAAGTCCCACAATAGGACGAAGCGGTCGTTCAGTGCTTCCAAGTTTTCAATAGTGGTCTAACATCGATCGATTCATGATCTCAATCAAATGAAATAAGTTATCATTCAATTATAAATCATTTGAAATCCTTTTATACTACTACTAATGATAATCATTCTATATAATTCTTTTATTCTTCTTATAGATTTACCAAAATTTATAATGGAACCAATTGATAAAATTTATTATTCATCAAATCAATCACAATTTATTACTAAATTACAATTATATGCATTAATTACACCAAAAAATGCAACTATACAACTTGGTGCTGTACATAAAGATAAACCAAATATGATTATATATTTACCAACAGTCATAGAATATTCAACAGAATCATATTCAATGACATTTGCTCAAACTCATGCTAAAATTCAATCTATTTCATTAAATAATAATTTAGATTATTTAAATGATTTCATTTCATATATAAATAATATCGATATTAGTAATAGTAATAATAATAATATTATTAATACTAATATTAATAATATTAAAGAAAATATAAATCTTTGGTCAATTTCTGTATATAATTTTTTACCAGATATGAAATTATTAGTCTTAGCAACTACAAAATATGGTACAATGACTAGTCATTTAATTGATTTGAAAACAAGTGGTAAGTTGTTTTTTTTTGGTTTTTTTATTTAAAGCAATTAGTCCCTTGTATAAATTTCGATGTGGAATCCTTCACATACCTAGAAAGCATCGTCGACAAACAAGGAGGTTCAGATGCAGACGTCAAGGCGAGGACAGCATTCCTTCAATTAAAGAACATATGGAACTCATAACAACTCTCAAGCAATATCAAAGTCACAATCTTCAATATAAACGTCAAGGCAGTTCTACTGTACGGAGCTGAAACTTCGAGAAATACTACAACCACCATCAAGAAGGTACAAGTATTTATAAATAGTTGTCTATGCATGATACTCAACATCCATTGGCCGGATACCATCAGCAACAGCCTTCTGTGGGAGAGAACAAAGCAGCTTCCAGCGGAAGAGGAAATTAAGAATAGACGATGGAAATGAATAGGACATACATTGAGGAAATCATCAGACTGCATTACAAGGCAAGCGTTAACTTGGAATCCTGAAGGGAAGCGGAAAAGAGGAAGGCCAAAGAACACATTACGTCGGGAAAAAGAAGCGTATATGAAAGGGATGAATAAGAACTGGAAAGAGCTGGAAAGGTTTTCTCAGGACAGGGTTGGATGGAGAATGCTGGTAAGCGGCCTAGGCTCCTTCACGAGGAGTAACAGGCGAAAGTAAGTAAGCAAGTATAAATTTCGATAGATCAGTGAGAAGATGGAGTTGATCTGAAAAATCTAATGTATTTGTGCTATACATTTTGAATAATCTGGTTACACACATGGTTGATAGCATTCGATCTGCACTATTAATAAGGACTAGACACCCATGACATTGGTCACCACCCAGTGATCAATCAATTGTGATTACATCTCAGTCCTACAGGAGGTCGGTCGCGACCCGGATAGCTCAGTGGTAACGTCTCTGACTGTGAAGCTGGGTGACACGGGAGCGGATCTGCCAGGGACCACCAGTTCCCTCAAAGATTACAGGTACACCTTGCTGACGAGTGCCAAGTAGCACGAAACCTGGGTCCAGGGTATCCTGTCGACTACCTTCAACCACCATCTAATCTGGTTACACACATATACTTGTCAGGGCATTTTTATATGAAAATTAATAAAGGTCAATTAAATGAAAGTTCAAGTATAAAAAATTAACAAAGGGGAGAGAAAGAATAAGAAATTGTCGCGTTATCCTAGGCTATAAAATGACTTAAGGATTACCAAGATAAATTCAAGGTTACGACAAATTGTTTTTGTACACATAAGGGGTGTTTACATTTACGTATAGCCAAAGCTTCAATGAACTTAAGAATTCGTCCTTGACAATTTCTATACAACGATCATAAAGCTGTATGAATGTCAATTTTGTGCCCCGTTTCAATTATATGTGTTGCTATCGATGAACTTGGTTTTCTACCTCCCATGTTGATCGGATCATTTGACATACATTGATTTTGAAGTCATCTAGGCACATGTTCGATGACTGTTAATTACATTGTTCGATTACTCCTCTCTATACGACAGTGTACTACTTATGTAAAAATGTACATGAATATCGAGTAAAGGCACTGACAAAAGTGGAAATATTAGTATGGGATTATGAGCGAATTAATAAGCGTGCCAAAAAAAACTTATTTTTATTCAATGAGTATCAATTTCATAGTAGATTTATTTACTTAATGTTAGTTGAACAGATAAAACAGTAATGAATTGATGAATTAGTCAGATTTAATGTAGTCATTTTCTGACGTTTGCGTGTGCGGAACTGAAGGACCTAGGTTTGAATCCCGTGAACAGGATCGTGGAGTTCAACAATAATACGAAATGGCTATTCAGTGGTTCAACGTATTCAATGGTGGTTTATTATCAATTGATTCATGATTTCAATCAAAAATAATTCAAAATGCATGAATGGATAGATAGTATTTTTTGAAAGTTTAAAATTAAAATAATCTGAAGTTGTATGAAAGAGTTTTCGTATCACATACTGATCTTAACACTGAAAAACTAATTGTGAATCTTAATTATTCACGTAAAGAATAAGTATATTTCTCAAATTTTTACTTATTTATTTAAACACATAAATATTGGTACAAAAAGGCATCAAATAAATATGCACCATGTAAATCATTCGATTTTTTTGACAGCTGTGATACGGCTCTGATGCCCAGACTGGAGCAGGTGGTTTTCTTACGGGGCCACACACGAATCCTTCGACCTAAACATCTGATCCACAAGGTAACGTAAGGAGATGCAGCCCCATGGTAGCCGGTGGCCAAAAATTGGTTCATACGCCATTTATTCGCTCAAGATCCTGGAGCCCATGTGCACGATTGGTTTGAAATCAGGGTTTTCCAACTCCTCTAGGTGAATACGGTATATCCATCAACCCGGTTGAAGCACAGGATATTCGCTTTCCGTTCTCTCAATTTCATAAATAACATCCCCGCCACGAGAAGGTAGGGAATAGGACTTCCCTGACAGTGGCTGTATGCACGTGGCCATGTGAGAGCATTTCTAGGAGGGCTGACTCTCCTCACTGTCGTCCGTACCAGGGCATTCATGGGCTTCAATATTTTTTTGCTTGTTATCTTACAGTATTCATTTATATTAACTGGATTCTGAGTGGTTAAACACTGATCAAGCTAGCTCAAAATCACATTTTAAGTTTCTCAAAGCCATTGACATATTATAGTTTCTCCAAGATATCCATCAATGATGTTGTAGTAACAACGCTAACAAATTTAATGCTCTCATTGTAATTCAAATTCAACTAATAATTGGCTTACAGTAATACAAAATATTTACACTAATATTTATCACTATTAGATGACTAAACCGAAACGTTTCTTGTTTTATTTCTTATCAAATTCAACAGAGAATGTTGAAATCTTCTCACTAGTACTTTACAACATAATTCAAAGGGAAAAGAATTCGTGGTGTACTCTGTATAATTCATAACAGATATAGTATTTTCAACTACTTTACTTATAATTAGTTGTGTGTAAATACTGAATACTCTGGAAGTAATAAGTTAAAAGAGATGGATAATCAAAACATCAATTGAATGATGTAAAAAAATATAGATAGGTGGAAACCAATTAGAAAATTCATAGCACGATTTTCAAATATTTACCACACATCAGCAACTTACATACCCACTTACGCCTGTTACTCCTAGTGAAGGAGCATAGGCCACTCACCAGCATTCTCCATCCAGTTGTTATTCATCTTTTTGATATCTGTTTCTATTTCGTGATGTAATGTGTTTGTTGTCCTTCTGCTTTTCCGCTTCCCTTCAGCATTCCATGTTAGGGCTTGCCATACATCAGCAAGCTGAGAGTATTTGTAAAAAGCAATGTGTTTATAACTGTAAATAAATAATTATTTTATAAACTTTTTCCACTAATATTTATGAAATAATCAGGAGGTTTTGTGGAGATTTTAGTAATTTAATAGTTGAATTCATGAATCTAGCTTCAAAAGCTATTACATGTGGTCCTAGTGACCAGTGGAGTTCAACCAGGTCTGTTGTGAGATATTAATTCACTGAAAACAATGGTGGATGGTGATACAATTAATCGTTCGCCCGCGAGAGCAACAGGCCCTTTGTCCGGAATCGGGGATGCGCACTACTGAGGAGTCCCGTACTAGGACGAGATGACCGTTCAGTGCTTTTAGGCTTTTCATGGTGGTATTTCTTCAGTAGACTCACGATCTCAACTATTAGTTTATGAAATAACACAATTCTTTGTTTATGACAGAGGTATAATAAACAATTTAATAAAACAGAATTCAATTACATCAAGAAAACTGGTTGATGTCAGACATGAAATGAATTTGTATGATGCATTTTCATTTGTGTATTTTATTTTGTCTTAATTTAGACTATTTTACAAATATACTAACCTCGAATTGGTTGTTTGATAATATGAGAACAAAGACATTTTTATCTTCATAAAAACAAGGAATAGATGAATGAACATTCATTTTTAATTGGTTTAACAACAGGCTTTAACAGTTAGAATTTCATGATTATTATAATACAATAGCCCAAATAAAGGTTATTTGAATGAATAAATGAAACAATGCTATCTGTTAAAATAATGAAGGTTTTGCATCAGTTATGGTTTCAACTCTTGCAAAATGTATCATTTTTAAACTTGACAAATTATTTAAGAAAGGGGTAGGATGTTGAGTTATAATCACTAAAACAAATATGTAATGATTTCAATGGTTGAGATCATGAGTTGGTTGAAGTTAGAACACCATGGAAAACCCTGGAAGCACTGGACGGCCGTTTCATCCTATTGTGGGATTTCTCAGTAGTGCGCATCCACGATCTCGCCCCCCCCCGCGAGACTCGAACCCAGGACCTATCAGTCTCGCGCTCGAGCGCTTAACCACTAGACCACTGTATAAGAGAAGTAATCTAATATCAGGTTGATTGAGATGGTAGTAAATATAATACTTTGTATGAATATCATAGATCATATAGCAAAAGTATAGGGATTCGAACCTAGAAAACTAAATTATCTATTCAGATAGAATTTGTAACGTCCCTAATCCTTCCATAATCAGATAAGGTTTAACACATACATCTATATCCTCCATTAGTTTGCTTTTATTAACTTTGTTTAATGGTTAGCTATTAAAACACTATATATTACATAATTTGTTTATTTCACCAAGTTTCCACCTACTTCCTATTGGTAAAACGTTGATTCAAGACTGTTTTTTTTCTATATCGATTTGTTCATTTCACTTATTATGTCCAGTTATCTAATCTATTTCAATGACAAATAAGCTACCTTGATTGATTGAATATCATTTTTTAACATTTACGCATAAATATTATTGTATATTAGTGTAAAGCTTGATGTAGATCTAACTGAAAGGGATATTAATCGCTTATATTTGTTATTCTGATAAATGAAATATAACAACGATAGGAAATCCATCTAAATTTAACAAGATGAATGTGTAAACAAGAGTAGAGCAGGATTAAGATAAAAAATAAT